GGCCCACGGTCCCCTCTCCTGCCCTCACTCCACCCCCCTATAAAACCCCCGGTCCCATCAGGCCTCTCTTTCTTGGCCACTGGACTTTCCGTTGTGTCGGTGGGTCTGGTGAACGGGGAGCGCAAACCGCTTGCATTAAAAAGGACTCTTTGCTTTTGCATCGGACTGACTGGTTCCCTGGGGGCCTTGGGAACTTTGAAATCTGGGCACAGCAGTTAATAAAATTCATGTAGGGATCTTCACAGAACCAGGAATTCTCTCTTTCATGCAGGGGTCCAGCCCCAGTAGTCCAAGGGTTCCCAAAGGTGTGGACTGAGTTGGTGAAGACTATCCACCCTCTTCCTACGATGGAGTCCGATCCTTCCCGAGAGCGGGGCTTACCTAAGGGAATGGGGGGCTTACCTAGCAGAATCCTGTTCAGCCTGTTCAGGCGCCATATGCAGGGGTCCAGCCCCGGCTGTCCAGGGGTTCCCAAAGGTGTGGACGGAGTCAGCGAAGAATGATTTACACGGAGAACACCGTGGATCTTCCCGGTGCCTGGCTGAGGCCACAGAGAAAGATACAGAGGCAAACTGAGCCTTTATTTTACAGTCAGAGGTAAACAAGGTAGTGGTTACCATAATTACACTGTTCTTGTGAGTTTCACTTGTTTTGACCATAGCTACACTGTTCTTGTGAGTTTCACTTGTTTTTGTTCTTGTTCTTGCTGCACTTCCCTCAGCCCATTAGCTTCCCAGATAAGATCTAGGGAGCATTATAAGGTCAAGCCTAATTATGCTAAGAGGACTGTGCCCTTTAAGCTAGGACTTGTTTGTGACTTTGCCAACAGGTGAGTCTGAGGCTTAACCCTATAGCTGTTCCCCACACTTTCAGGCCTACATATTCAGTATTTCTAAGGAGGAGGCCTGTTATTCTGTGTTTTGTTTTGTGTTGTTTTTTAATACTCACCAGAGGATATTTTTTCACTGCTTTTAAGAGAAAGTGGACCGGAGGGAGAGGGCGAGGAAGAGGGAAAAGGAGAAGGAAAGGGAGAGGGAGAGGGAGAAGAAGAGAGAGAGGGCCTGCTTGGGGCCGAGGGCAGGCCCTCACCAGCAGTTGTGAGCTGCAGAGGAAACATCTTTTCTGACCACTCATTGGCTAAGCTCCCAGTACGCTACTCGCAGTGTTCTTGGTAACTTGCCTAATAAGAATCCAAGAAGGTGATCTAGGGTTTTTCTACCTCATTCCTGGAGGAAAAAATGAAGGTCCGCTGCTGGAGGGGCTAAGAAATGTCATACCCTGCCCTACCCAGTTTGGCTCAGTGGATAGAGCTTCAGCCTGCCGACTGCAGGGTCCAGGTTTGATTCTGATCAAGGGTATGTACCTAGGTTGCAGGCTCCTCCCTGACCTGGGCCCAGGTCAGGGCTCATTCC